GGAATCTGGATTGGGATTGCATTATATGTAAATTACTTTGGGCAGTATTATTTTCACAATGTTAAGTCTTCCTATCCAGGAGCATGGTACGTTCTTCCATTTTTGTAGGTCTCTTTTAGTTTCTTGTAGTAGTGTTTTGCAGTTTTCTTTGTATAGGTCCTTTCCTCCTGTGTCTTTATCAAATGAGGAAACTGAGGCACAGAGGTCCTGTAAATTTTTTATGATCATATGTTATGTACCATGGAGTCATATAGTTATGAGTAAAAAAAAAAAAAAAAAAAAATTAAGGAAATAGTAGCCTTCAATCCTTTTGTGGTTTTACAACCAGGAAAGGTGTGCACCGAGGTGTATCCTTTCATCGTACTTATTCAGTCTGTATGCTGAGAAGCCAGATTGTATATAGAATTTGACATCAAGATTGGAGGAAGAGTCATTGGAAACCTGAAATATGCAGATGACACAATCTTGCTTGCTGAAAGAAAAGAGAGCTTGAAGCATTTACTGTTGAAGAACAAAAACTTTAGCAACAATTACAGCCTTCAATAAGAGTTACACAACCTAAAGAAAACAAATATTCTCACAATTCAACCAATATGCAGCATCATGATAAATGAAGAAAACATTGATGTTGTCAAGGATTGATTTCATTTGCATTGGGTCCACCATCCACATTCATGGGAACTGCATCCAAGAAATCAAATTGCATATTATATTAGGCAAATCAGCTAAAGACCTCTTGAGATTGTTAAAAAAAACAAACACCAAAATATCTCTTTGAGTACTAAGGTGTGCCTGACATGGTATTTCCAGTTGCCTCACATACATGCAAAAGCAAAACAACAAATAAAGAAGGCCAGAGAAGACTTGATGCATTTGAATTATAGTGTTGGTGAGGAATATTGAGTATACCACAGATGGCCAGAAAAATGAATACACTGGTCTTGGAAGAGATATAATCGGAATGCTCCTTAGATGAGAAGATGGCAAGATTTATCTCACACACTTCACATTTGCTGTCAGTATGGACCTATTCCCAGAGAAGGACATCAGTTTTGATAGAGAGTCCGCAAAAAAAGGAAAGCCTTAAGTAGAGATGGATTAACACAGCAGTTACAAAAAGGAGTTAAAACACACAACAATTGTGAGGATAGCACTGGACCGGCCAGTGTTTCATTCTGTTGTACATCACATCACTATGAGTCAGAAGCGATTTAATGGCAGCTCTCGACAACAACAAACCTCCTCAAAGAGGCCTGGTTGTGCAGTGTTTAAGCACTAACCCAAAGGCTGGTGGTTTGCTCCACCTGCTGCTTTATGGGAGAAAGATGTGACATTCTACTTCTGGAAAGATGGCAGCCTTGGGAATCCTATGGAGCAGTTCTACACTGTTCTAAAGGAGAGCTGTGAACTAGAACCAACTTGATGGCAATGGGTTTGGAAGTCTCTTCACACTCATTGAAATATTTTACATAGCATTATTTAAAAGCAACAAGGCTTTAAATCCGATTTAGAATTTTAAAAACTAAACTAAATAAATACAAGGAACCATTTGGTGTCCTTAAGAAAGGAAATCAGAGTAAAAAGAAGGCGGAAACCAAGTTGTTTCCCAGTCTTATGTTATTTTCTTCTTCTTTTGTGAGACTTTGCCTTGGGAAACAGACCTCTCCGGAGACAGGTAATATTGAGGAAGCTCATGACAAGAAGATTTTGCTGCTGAAGGGGTTTTAACCTCTGAGTTATGATAGCTACAGAGGAGTTTCTGAAACAATGTGCCTATGAGTCATGACCTGAATAAGACCTTGGTCCCCCCAGCACAGTTGTGGCTTGTTCAGTCTGCAAACATAAAGAGGTCTCAGTGCTCTAGGTTCCTGAAACATTAGGACACAGTCTGGCTTCCTTACCCAGAATGCTCGGCTTCATGACACACACACTGTAGATAGCTATTCCCATCCAACCATGACCACCATGGCTCTGTGAGGTAAGTAAGGTTGGGTGTCAACCCAGAAAAATACCTTCATGTCGCATATAGATCTGGAGGCATTTCCTCACCTCTATTGTTAAGTGCCATCTAGTCAGTTCCTACTCATACAGACACTGTATATGGTTTCCAAGAAACGACTGGCAGGCTTGAACTGCCAACCTGTGGCTAGAAGTTCAGCACTTATCCTATAATGCCACATTTATGAAAAACACAACACTGTCACCAAAACAATAAAACAACCCCATTCTCCGTGGATCTCAGAGCAGGGGAGAAAGTGACACTTGGCAAAATATCCCAAAATTCCTTTAAAAAAAAACAAAGAATCAAGCGTCTATAAGAAATACCCTCCAAATGCTTATCTGCATTTCCCCAAAACTTTAATTAGGTATTGATTGCTCCTCAGAACGCAGGGCGACCAGAAGACATTGGGGATGTCATATTTAAAGAGTCAAAAGAAAGAAAGAAAAACAGCTTTCAACCAAAATTTCTATATCTTACAAAATTGATCTGCAAAAATGAGAGTGAAATGAAGACATTCCCAGTGAGGGCTCAAGGCCATAGTGTGAGAGGACACCATGGTCAATTGGCATGACATAGCCCACAAAGACAATGTTCTACATCCTACTTTGGGGAGTAGCAATTGGGACCTTAAAAGCTCATGACTGGTCTGCTAAGGTGCAGCTACTAGTCTACCTGTGTGTAGAAGAAAGAAGAATGATGAAAACTGAAAATGCTTGGAAACAATCAGTCTAATGGGCTAATGGAGAAGGTGAACATCCATCACCACAACTCTGAGACCAGAAGAACTAGATGGTGCCCAGCTACCACTGCCAACGGCTTTGAAAGGGATCATTTTTGAAGGCTCCAGATAGAATGAAAAAAATATGGAATAAAACTCATAATTCTTTTTTCAAAAGACTGAACTTACTGGTTAGTATGAGACTGGAGGAACCTGAGACTATGATCCTCAACCACACATAAGGTCTAGAAAGGAATTCATTCTCGTGACCAAATTTATAGCCAAGTGGTAGATAGGTACATAGTGGGGTAACAACACTAGTGAGGTGTGATTACCACTGAATGGTCAACCATTCCAAATGAAAAGGGCAACATTTACTAAGGATGGAGTTCAGTGGGGCTGGGAAGGAGGATGGAATGGAAATAAGAACCACATGAAGGAAGTTGGATAACTGTTGTTCTATGGAGAGAATTGCAATCATTGAGATGAAACAAAGTGTACGATCTGTTTAATATAAAACTGGTGATCTACTCTGTAAACCTTCACTCAATTCACTATTAAAAGTTTCAAAAAAAAAAAAGAGTGGGTAACATTAAGGCATTTCCAGACAAATGAAAGTTGAGGGAACTTCGTACCAATAGATCTGCCCTATAAGAAATGGTAAGGAAATCTTGTGGATGGAAAAGTAGCACACGAAATACCAGTAACTTAAAGCTTCATGAAGAAATAAAACCTTTCTGCAAAAGTGAGAGAAAGAGAGACATACCAGGAGAAATAATGTACTGTTGGAAAGGTCATGATCACAAGGGTGATTGTTGGAATTCAGACATGAGAATGCGCATTAAAACCCAAAAATGGAAATGTGTTGGATGAAATGATGTGACAGAAAAAGGAGATGGTACTTGAGATACAGCAGGACACCAACAAAACCATGGATCTGGTAACCACACCGTCCAGCCAGGGACATGTATAGGGATACAAAGTGGGTAAAACATCTGAAGAGCTAGCTAGTGCAAGGATGGAGACATGGGCAGACTAGAAAGGCGAGACTATAACAAGCTCCCATGTGCATTTTTTTTCCGACCATACCAGTAGATTGTGCAGACAAAAATATTCACTAATAATCGCTCTAACTTCCAGGTATCCAAACTTTCATAATAAAGCATCCGTATTGCAAATGCTGAAGACATACAGAAAATAAACAATTGAACTTTTCAACATTTACACAAGGAATCAGAAGTCTTATACCACACCAAGTATATGCAGAGAGGGAAAATATTAACAGATGACAACATTCTAGATAGATGGTCCCTGATCACCCTTCAGACCTGGAACTGAAGTCACCCATGTAGCTTATTTTTTTGGACAAAATGTACACAGGTGTATAAGGGAAACACTAGCACTCGGAAGGTCTGCACTTCTTAGGAAAACCAGCTATTTGAGATCAAAGGGGAAGCATGCACCAAGGACAAGTTCACAAGGGTTGGGAGAAAAGGAGAAATGGAAACGAGAAACACAGGGAGGAAGTGGGATAAATGACGTTAATGTTGCGGGAATTGCAATCAATGAGATGAAACAAAATGTGTGTGAATTGCGGGATGGCAAACTGACCTGCTCTGAGACATTCACCCAATTGACAATAAAAGTTTATTTAAAAATCTGAAGGGATGTTGTTGTTGTTGTTAAGTGCCGTGGAGTCGGTTCCGACCCATAGCGACCCTGTATAGGGTTTCCGAGGGTGTAAATCTTTACAGGAGTAGAAAGCCTCATCTTTCTCCCGTGGAGTGGCTGGTAGTTTCGAACCGCTGACCTTAAGGTTCGCAGTCCGATTCGTAACCACTACGCTACCAGAGCTCCTTCATATTTTTCATGCACATCTTAATGGAAGAACATATTTTGTGCATTAGAAAACACAGTATATTGAATGATATGCTACATGGTAAAAGCTGGAGGAATCTCTGAAACATTACTCATTAAAATAATCAATCTGTGATTCGATTAACTTTGCCTTTCATTTTCCTTCCACATGCTTGCATTTTCTATTTTTTTGTTTTTCTATGATATATGCAAGTTTCTCTTGGAAAGGGAAAATGGGCATTTTAAAGCCCTGCCAAAACTAAGTCTCAAGAGAAAGTTTGTCATAAACTAGAGGGGTCTCTGTATGTTCGCAAGTAGACCACATGCCATGGGCCAACATTTGTTCAGAGGCAGAAGAAAGTTATTATAAGACTCTCAGAGCTTGGAGACATGACAGATTTGCAGCAACGGAAGGATACCAACCTGGGTCGCAGAGGCATTTGTAACTGGTGCCCACGCTGCGGCACGTGCCGTGGGCACAGGGGCTGAGGGCGCAGAAGTCGATGAGCTGGGCACAGGCTGGCCCCGTGAAACCTGGGCTGCAGCTGCAGACAAAGTGCACGCCGTCTACATGGCAGGTCCCATTGTTCTGGCATGGGTACGAAGCGCACGGGTCCACTTTCTCCTCACAGATGGACCCAAAGTATCCTGTGAGAACATAAGGAAATGATCATCTGTTTTCACATAACAATTAACAAAGTGAAGCCACAGTTCTCAAACAGCTCTCCACTCTGAGGGAGTTCACCAATTCATTTACCAATAGATTTTCCAGATTCACAACCCAACAAGGGTAGACAAGACAGGTTCTCTTAGTCTTGGTGTAGTTGTTGCTGTTAAGTGCCGTTGAGTCAGTTTTGACTCATAGTGACCCTGTAGAGGGTTTCCAAGGAGCCGCTGATGAGTTTGAACCCCCAACCTTGTGGTTCAAACCAACCTGCAGTCCAGTACTTACCCTACAGTTCCACACGAGGACTCCGATATTAATATTGGTTGTTGTTTTTAAGTGTCATGGAATAAGTTCCATCACATAATGATCCTGCATAGGGTTTCCAAGGAGAGACTGGTGAGTTTGAACCACCGACCTTGTGGTTCAAACCGACCTTGTGGTCCAATGCTTTATTCCACAGCACCACACCAGGACTCCCTTGGTAAGATGGTCAATCCTGTGAGTCAATTTTGTTGAGATATAAATGAGGTGACAGCTTAGATAAGCATACATGGATGTGGATATATTTCTATGCATACACGTGTAGGTGTAGGAAGTCCCTGGGGGTACAAACGGTTAACATGTTCAGCTGCTAATTGAATGGCTGAAGATATGAACACACTTATTGGCAGCTATTTCTGAAAAACCCAGTCGCTGAAAACTCTGTGGAGGACAATTTAACTCTGATACACATGAGGTTGCCTTGGGTTTCTGATTCCAGGGCCAGATGGAAGATAGACGAACCAAAAAGAGCAGAGTCCTGGGGAAAAATGTTACAGTAGTCACACACTCAAATGCCCACAGGAGCCAGGCAGACAGCGTCCATGAGAGAAGTGGATCAGGTGTAAGACAGCAGGGAGCGGTGGGGACTAGAACCCAAGAAGACTCCTTCTAAAGGGGATGGTTGTCCCCCACTGACAACCAACTGCCACCGTTGAGAATTTGGGGCCAGTTAACACACCTTCTGAATTTTCAAGAAAAACCTGAAATCCAGATTCTTATTTGACCCTTTCAACATCTTAAAATATAGAGAAATCGTTTCTCTCAAAACAAATCATCTCTATGGCTTTTCTGTGAATGAGAAATGTTAAAGAGCACAGTCTTTGGGGTCAATGAGAATTCTATTTGAGTACCACTTCTACCACTAAATTAATGGACTTGAACAGTAGTTAATTACTCTGACCTGATTCTGTGTTTGTGGGATGGGGACATGAATGCTTACATGGGTATTATGAGGCATAAATGAGAACATTCAGACAAAGCACTTGGCACCATGATTGGCAAATAGTAAATGTTCAATAACGAAGTAGCTATGATTATGATGTAATTCCCAGGTTACCAGGGTGAGAAGGGAGAATAATGAGTTCGGTTTTCAGCATGCTAACTTGAGGATATTGTGTGAGTGTCCAGTAGTTAGCTGACGATGGTCAGAAGAAAGGCACGAACTAAAGGACATGGATTGGGAACATGCACATATGGGTGAGAAATGAAGTCATAGGAATAGATGCTAACACTTGGGAGCAATGGATGAGGATGAGAAGACATTTCCAAGGTGGAGATTTGGATAATGATGATGTTTAAAAGCACAGGGAAGATGAAGCAAATTGTTTCCATCTTTTGATTATTGTGAATGGCGTGGTGTGATGAAGTTGGGATGAAGGTCTTGTCATTGCTCTAATTTCTTGCAGTTAAGCTAATTCTTTATGTTCAGGTGCAGAACAAAGTTTAAAACTCTTTTGAAGATGTTTGGAAGCCATTAGATCAATGGACTAGTGGAGCAGATGAAAATCTGTTACCACGACTCTGAGACCAGAAGAACTAGATAGTTGGTGCCCAGTTACCACTATCAACTGTTCTTAGAGGGATCACATTAGAGAAAATGTGGAACAAAACTTCTAGCCATCTTGTTCTGTTTTTTGATCTAATGCAAATTCTAGTCTCTATGTCTGTGATTATGGATCCAATTTGAAGTGAGTTGTTAATGAGTAAGTACTAAGGTGGAACTAAAGATTGAGGATGCCCCCACTTTACTAGAGGGGTGACTCAAGTCACCACCCTTAGTTTTCCTTGGGGGCATGGTCAAAAGTCCAATTTATAAGACTACTTTAGCAAAGCTCACTCACTTGCTCTGGATCTTGCGTCTGGCTGGTTTATCACATCTGACCTCCAGTTTGTGGGACTTGTGACCAATAACCTGGTCTGATTCACCAGCTCCCACAGTGTCATGCAGCAACAGCCTGCTGTCCGACCTCCCAATTTGGGTTCCTTAGCTGCTGAGACTATGTTGTTGTTGTTGTTAAGTGCCGTTGAGTCAGTTCCGATCCATAGAGACCCCGAGCAGGGTTTCCGAGGCTATAAATCTTTACGGGAGCAGAAAGCCTCATCTTTCTCCCACGGAACAGCTGGTAGTTTCGAACTGCTGACCTGCTGTAAAGATTTACAGCCTCAGAAACCCTGTACAGGGTTGCTATGAGTCGGAACCTACTCCACGGCACACAACGACACTATGTAGGAGAAGAAAATACTCCAGACTGTCCTGAACTATGGATTTGGGACTCACCTGCCTCTATAGTTGTGTGAGCCACTTCCTTTGACGGAAGTTCTGTGAGATGTTGCGGTGTACTGAGAACCCTGACATAGGCAGGAGTGGGGATTGATATCCAGGGACATGGAGTATAACAAGTTGGGAAAGTTGGACATTTGGGCTATCTTTAACTCCACCTCATAGGGACCTACCTTAGTCTGATCTTCCTAAAAGAAATGATTCAGGCAGTTGATGTCAGAATGGTGAGGCCCATTGTAATGTCCCTGACTCACTGCAGTATATGGTTTTAGGGAATCAATGAGAAACCTCTGATATCTGTATGGGATCAAAATGACCCAGGATTAAAGTAGCTATGATGCTGCAATTGCTTACCTAAGGCAAAAGCTATACACGAGATATAGAATTGGTTGATGTCGATTTAACTCCAGATGAATTAGTTCATTGGAAGCATATGGAAATATAGAGTGATAAAGGAAGGGCAAGACGTACAATTCCTTGGTTTTTGTTATCATCCACAGCAGCAATGATAAGGAGAAAGCATGTAGTGTTGATGGAAGACCTGGTTCAGTCAGCATTACATACATTTGCCTCAGATCTGACTCAGAAAGGAAAAACTGGATTAGAACAATAGGAAGTACCACTATGACCGCTGGTCACCCAGAAGAAATTCCAAGAAGGGAATGGACAAAACCAACAAGTTATTTAAACCAAGAGGGTATGTTGCTGTAAGAGCGAGCAAGCTGGTTCTGACCCATAGCAATGCTCTGAGAAGTGGCTGGTGAGTTTGAACCACAAGGCTTGCAGTTCAAACTGACCTTGCAGTCAACTGTTTATCCTACAGTGCCATACCAGGACTCCAAAAGTGTAAAGGAATTGCCTCAGTTTGTTGATATGTATTATCAACTTCCTGTGGAACCATTAGTAGAATGGATTCTAAGAGTGACTAATGTAGAGGCAGTGTCTTTAGTTTTGAATACTACAAAATGTAATAGTATGTTTGGGATAATTCTTCCATAACTTACTGGGGAAGAGTCATCAATGGTAATACAGATGCGCTTACACAGAAGGAATGGTCAGCCTAGGAATAGGCTGGATAAAATATGCAATAAGATCTGCCCAATAAGGAAATTGGGACAGACTAAGCCCAACAGGAAAGAGATTTTTAGATGGTTATGGAGTCTTGGTGTGGTGCTGTGGGTTAATGCTCTGGACTGCAAGCTTGCTTTGGACCACAAGGTTGACAATTCAAGCTCACCAGCTGCTCCTTGAAAACCCTATAAAGGGTTGCTATGGATCAGAATCAACTCCAAGGCCCTTAACAACAACAAATGAGAAATGGCACTGTAGGATCAGCACTGAAATGCTAACCACAAGGTCAGCAGTTCAAATCCACCAGCCATCCTTAGAAATCCTATAAGGGCTGCTGTGAGTCAGAACCAACTCAATGGCATAGAACAACAACAACTGAGAAATTGGATGGATAGAGTGGACATGGATGGAGCTGATACAAAGTTGGTAAACAGCACTATAGGCGGTTGAGTGGACCAGGGGAGATTTCTGCTGTGCCCCCAATGTTAAAGAGGCCAACAAATCCATTCTAAGCCTTCTTGTTGATGATGCCATTAAGTGGCATTGAGTCAGTTCCAACTCATAGCAGTCCTGTATAGGATCTCCAGAGTAGCTAGTGAGTCTGAACCACTGACCTTGCAGTTTAAACTGACTTTGAGGTCCTGTGCTTATCCTACAGTAACACACCAGGGATCCCAGCCAGGAGGAATTTAATGATGGGAATTCCCATTTGGAGCAGACGCTCAGTTGATCAAGATCAGGACTGACAAAAGGATCAACGTCTTCTGATTCAGTCTCCAACAGGGGACCTGAGGCCATAAACATACATGTGGGTAAAATGGCCCAGGGATTGGGGAAAGGCTTTCTTGGGGTTCCTGGACATCTATGCCAAGAAATTTGGAAGACAGCTATCCTTACACCACAACTGATTATGCCCATTCCAAAGAGAGGTGGCCCAACAGAATGCGGAAATCATTGGTCAATATCATTAATATCCCATGCGAGTATAACTTTACTAAGGATAGTTCAAACACAGCTGCATCAACACATTGACAGGGAGCTGCCAGAGGTTCAAGCCAGATTCAGACGAGGATGTGGAACAAGGGATATCACTGTTGACGTCAGAGAGATCTTGGCTGAAAGCAGAGAATACCAGAAAGATGTTTACCTGTGCATTACTGACTATGCAAAGGCTTTCGATTGGTGGATCATGACAAACTATAGACGACATTGGAAAATGAGTATTCAGAGACAGATCATTGTGCTCCTGATGGATCTGTACATAGACCAAGAGGTACTTGTTCAAACAGAACAAGGAGACACAAAATC